ACACATACGTGTGTGTGTGTGTGTGTGTGTGTGTGTGTGTGTGTGTGTGTGTGTGTGTGAGACAGAGAGAGATGTGCATTGCTCCTTTAAGTACGCTGACCCTACTCTAAGCACATTGCCTTTTTAAGTAGATCAGCAAGTTGAGACAGCAGCTACTGCCAGCAAGCTCCCTCTGTCCAGAGCCCCGTTGTGCTTGTGCCCACCCCCGCTCTATGGAGATGGGCGGGGTAAGCGGGGGGGCAGGAGCAGGGGGGAGGGGGACACCCTGACATTAGCGCGCCCCCCCGCCCCATACACGCACAGCAAGCAGGAGGCTCTGGGAGCAGCTCCAAGGCAGAGAGCAGGAGCAGCAAAGACAGTGTAGGGAGGGATAGCTGAACTGCCTTGATAGCCTGCTGGGCGGCTGCTGCACAGGGAACTTAGGGGAGCGGGGAGCTGATGGGGGGCTGCCGGAAGGCAATCTGTTTATTTCATGCTACTTGCCCAAATGTCACTTCCGTTAGCAAAGCCAGAGCAGACAGCCAAGGGCTGTTTAGCAGGTAGCATTTCCCACCCAGTCCCTCAGTTTGACCAAAGCTGATTTTCCCACCATTACTAGGAGCCTAAAGCAGCACCCCTTGGGTTGGGGCTGGGGAAGTGGCAAGGTGCAAACCCGGGAACCATCTAACAGCGTGGATGCTGAAATGGAGAAATCTGAATTGGCATGCAGAACACCGGCATGTCGCTCAAGCCTTCTTGACTACATCCTGCTACCTGATTGGCCCTCAGCAGGATTATTAAGATTTAGCCTGATTTTCAAAAGTGCTGAGGGCCCACGGCTGACAGTGACTGATATTAGAGTTACTGGTGAGCAGCTGTGCTGAAAATCAGGCCAACAGTGCATTAGAAAAGGGGGCTGGAATTAAGTGAAATACCTGCTGGAAGGCCAGTGGCTAAGAGCCCGAGTCCACTCTCACTGAAGACAATGGCCAAACATCCATTCAGTGGGGGCAGAAATGGATTCTAACAGTCCCATGCTGTGAAATACACCAGGACTTTCCTTGATGCCTGAAGGTGACAAAGTCTCAGTGAAATACACCTGAAATCTCTGCCCAAACGAGGACGGCAGATTAATACCTTGGCGAGTCTGTACAGCGGGAATCTCTGCAGTGGGGGGAGGGGGGCAATATCTCTGAGCTACAGACCAGGAATCAGTGTGCTGGGGGGTGGGGCAGACGATAACACCAAGCCGTTCACAGGGATAAGAACGAAGACGTTAGCACTATGTTGGACTATCACTGACCTTATTCCTGGCTAGAATGTCACTCTCCAGTTTGGTGTGGCAGTCCCCCAAATACCTTCTCAGCACAAAGTGAGTTTGGTTTTGTTCAGCTCTGCAACGGGGGTCTTGCAATGTGATATCCGTGATGTAGTCATTTAAATCCTAAGAGAAAGATACCAATGTATCCATCACCTGTTACAGGCAGAATCCCAGATTCCCCCCGGCATCCCCTGTTTGTGGAAAACATGTGGTTGGTCCCTCTGTTGCTTCTCTCCCCCCTCCATAGGGGCAGAGTAAGGCAGAACCCTCTGACCCCCAGCGTCCAAATGTCGGAGACAGGAAGAAACCAAGAGCCCAATTCTGTAAGGTGCTGAGCCCCTTCTCCCAGTTCTGTTCCCACAGTTCTGTCTGGAGCGTGTGATTTCTCAAGCCCGCGCTCTTCAGCTTAGCCACTCACCTGTAAGTTCATCTTCGGCATGACTATCTCAATGGAGTCGTCTGTGCACTTCCACGGTGGGAACAGACTGAAAAATGTTTGAACAATGTTGACGGCATCGGGGCGTTGTGCGGGTGGTGGTGGTAGAGTCTTCACTTCTGGTTCTATAGAAATCAACATCAGGACAGCATTGGGCAGGGCTGGAATGGCTCATTTCCTTCGGCAGCCAAGAGAGAGGCTATTGGTATCTACAAGGATTAACTCACTGGGATGACGTCTTTGCAAACTCAAGAGTAACCCTCGCGATGCAGGGGCTGATAGATCCCAGAGGGGCTGATCTAGTGCTGGGGAAAGGGCCAGCCTGAGCTCTGGAGAGTGAAGTTATCTTGATGCTCAGAATAGGTACGGCACAGACAGTAGCAGGGCCAGCTTCCCATATGCTGCCCCACCAATGGGCCTTAGCCCTGAGCTGGAGAGAGCCATCTCTTGAGGGCGGGGGGCTCAGTCCCCATGGCCCAGCCAATCCCAGGCACTTCTGTTGAGGCTGCCAATAAGGGGACCTATTTGTGTGAATTCTGATGTGGACACTTGCTCACTGGGATCTGGACTGAGGCCACCAAGCAGCCACCAGATGACAACACCTCTTAGCGACTCCTGACCTGGGCTGGAGCTGAGCCAGTGACCACGGGAGTAGGAGGCTCGGCAGCCCATTCCCAACCTCCTGAGCCATGTAGCAATTTTGCCCATGGGGCCTTTAGGGAATGTCTACACTGCGATTTAAACACCCGTGGCTGGCCCATGTCACCTGACTTGGGCTCGTGCTACAGGGCTGTTTAGTGGCGGCATAGACCCCGCAATGGGTCCCAGAGCCTGGGCTCCAGCCTGAGCTCAAATGTCTACGCCGCCATTAAACAGCCCCATAGCCCAAGCCCCGTGAGCCCGAGTCAGCTGACACAGGCCAGCCACGGGCGTTTAATTGCCGTGTAGACCTACCCTTAGAGCATGGCTGACAACTGAGTCGAGTGGCTGGGCACTCGGCAGCATCTAGTGTAGACTCACCACATCTGTGCAGCTCAAGGGTCACATGGGTAGCCGACGGGATGTCCGTATATGAAGCTATGTCATCAAATCCTTTATCGTGGGCCAAGCCGATCAGGCCCTGCTCACTGTCAGGGAGAACTCTCTCATCCAATTGCTCGGAGGGGAATCTGCTGATCCGGTGTTTCCCAGACGCCTGTGGAAGAAGGAGAGAGAAGTAGGAGGGAGGGAGATAGAGAAGACAGGAATTGACGTGCTGGAGGGTGGTGGTGGCTGCTAGCAAGCTTGTCTGTGACCCAAGAGAAATCACAGACCTGGCGGAAGCTGAGGGGGGTGCTAGCCATTTTTCAGTCAGGTTACTGAGGGCACAACCGGGTGCATCCTCTGCGGCCTTTCTAGCCCTTGCCAGCCTAAGGACAAAGCCTGCAGGAGCCCAGGTGTTCCGCGGGGTGACGTGGCACAGCTCCCGGTGCGTCATGAAGCCCCTTTGGCAAAACTAAAGCTTTGCTTTGGGAGAACAGGGCCCCAGCTCCCTGCACTGCCCATGTGAGAGTCACCAGGACAAGCCAGTCTGTTCTGATGCCAGGATCCTGTCAGGACCCAGGCAAGCTGCAGTAGTCTGGGCTGGTCCTTGGAAAGAGATGGCTGTGAAGCAATTGAGCATTGGGGATTCAATAGGTGGCGCTAATGGTTAAAATAGATCAAAACAGGAGGGGGAGCTCTGACCGCACCAGCCAGAGATGGGGAGCCGTAGGGGAGCACTGCTTGCCCAACCCAGGGAGAAGAGGGGAAGCTGTGTTCCCCCCCACTCCTTTTTACTTTAACCTCTATGCTGCTGGCAGGTACCACCTTTCGTCTGAGCGCCGGCCAGAGGTCCTGGCCACTTGTAGACTTTAAACATCTCAGGATGCTTTTCACAGAGTAGGGTTGGTAAGCCCATTGTCCTGGCCAGATTCTCACTCAGTTACATTCTGCTTCCCTAAACACCTCCTGCTGTTTCAGTTGGACACAGAACTCTTCACTCCCCGTCCTGGATTGCTCTGCAGCATGGCTGTGTGCTTTAAAACAACTGCTGTGCAACCTCTTACTCCATGGCTCAATGTGGCCCATTGCTCCCTGCGTTCCAGCAGACGTGGCCCTCCCGCCCATGAACATTTTGAGCTGAAAGGCATCACAGAAATATGAACTCTCTATCAGCATTTCTCTCCTGCCTTACCATGATGCTCACGGTGCGTTGCGTATCGATGTTCCAGGTCACGCTGGGTTGGCTTTGGAGGATCAGCAGTATTGTCAGATCCTGCAGCGGCTTTGCTTCAGGGCAGACCACGTTCACCTTCACCTCCACGGGCTGAGAGCTACAGCACAAACCCCAGAATAAACCGATGGGCTCATGAACCAACATGGCCTCCCCCTATGGTTACTCCACCTTCTCGGCCACAGCTGGGCCCCCCAGATGAAGACTCCAAAGGCAGGCCTCTTCTGCTAACAAGCCCTCCACCAACTTCAGGGCCTCTTTTGCCAACAACAAAATATGCCACGTGGTCCTCTCTCTCTGTCCCTCACACACACACACATGGGCCTAGCCAGAGAGGAATCACTGGAGACAATAGTGTGGGTGGGTTTCAAGACTTCCCACCCCACTGGCCTCACAGTCTCCCTAGGCAAGCCCGCACTTAACTGGGGGCTGTCCCCCTCCATCAAAGAGGGACATACCCCACACTGCTCTACCCCCTGGCCTGGGCCCTGACAAGGTGCCATCCCCTTCCAGAACACACTCCCCAGCCCCTCGCCCCACACGCCAAGGGCGGGACCCTTATCGTCCCCCTTACCGCTGCTGGGCTCTTGCCAACAGGCAAAGAGAACCACAGCCCTCCTCCAAATCACCCCTATCTGTCCTCCTCCTTCCACTGACTCCCGACACCCACAGCTCCGTCCCCAGAGCTCACAGACCTGAATCCCTCCTCGAGCCTCACCGCCCACCCTCTGACCAGCACAACTTCTCCCCGGGCCGAGCCTCGAGACATGCTGGGACCCAGCCAGCATGTGTGTGTTGGGGGGAGGGGCTCCCTTCCTAAGCGAAGTCCCACTGCAGACACCGCCTGGCAGCACAGTGAGCTTAGCTAACCTGCAGTGCGGCTCTCGGCCTCTGTAAGAGGCGCCCCCTTTCCCCCCGTCCCCGGCTAGGGAAGAACCTGCAGCCAGCCTCAGGTGTATTCTGATGGGGGGGCCCGGGGCGGAGAAGGCTCTGTCCGACCCCTCCCTTCGCGAGCGGACAGGGTTGGAAGCACACCAATTACCTGGTCTCCGCTGGGCCCTGCTGCATGCGCAAGATGTGAGCCTCCTTCCCCTTCTTCGCACCGGGACTGGTGCAGCCTTTAACCTCTTGGACTAAGAACTCGGTCTGTAGGTACCGCTGGGCATTGAACCCAGGCTGCACGATGCAGTCCTCTGGACTGCTGGCATCTGGGAGAGAGAAGAAAAATCATCCATATTCTCTACTGAGCTGCAGTGACCTCCCTTCCCCTACCTCGCAGGGGCCTGGTCTCCAGGCCAGGGTGTGGGACGGAGGGGGGATGTCTGACTTGGGCTCCCATGCCCCTCACTGCTATGCTGCAACATCCTGAGCCCTGGTAGAAATGGACACTGCTCCTGCTGACGCCAGTGGGAGGTGCAACCTCTTACACCATGGCTCAGTGTGGCCCATTGCTCCCTGCGTTCCACAAGAGTCAGCACGGTTGGTTTTAGACACACACGGCGCTGAGATTCTCAGCGGTACCATTTGGTATCGAGGAGTTTTGTCTATAGAATCGCCTTCCTCCCTTATCCACTCAGCCTGTACTTGACTCGCTCCAAACCAGCTCCTGCAAGCAGCGCTCAGCACGATCCGCTGCTTGCGAGGGAGCGCACGCTGCTGAGATGCCAGCTGGCCTGGACAGGCGAGGCCACTGCTGTGAGGAAGTCCACAGCACTAACAAAAACCAAACCTGCCATGTCCTGACTAAGCCTTCAATGAAAGTCTAAGCCTGAGTCGACAAACGTCTTTTGCCAACGTGGCTTTTCACGGTAAAAACGGCTCATTTCTTTTAACAGCCTAACTCCCCAGCGACGGCCAGCCAAGGAGGAAGGGAGCCATGTGCTGCTCCCTGCTTTGAGCATGTGAGAGTGAACCAGCACGACAGCTGGGTACTGGGGAGCCTCCGAGGGGTGACAGCACATCACCGATGCCAGCTCCCAGCCCCGAGCACTTCCAGGACCCACCTTCGCCCACTCGGAAGTGGATGTGGTGGGGGTTTTTCAGCTCGGTGAAGGAAGTGATGCCCCCATAGTGTTCTTTCACCCGTTGTACAAGCTGCTCACCACTGGTGTCCTCGAAGGCCCTGGACATGTTGTCCGTGACTCCAAGGACCAAGTTATTCTGAAAAAAAACCAAGCCAGCAATAGAATGGACACGCCCGCTACGTCTGGTGATTGGGCTCCCTGCTGGGGCAACACCAGAGCCCCACATCCCACCAAATATCAGGCTAGTCCCAAACGCCCCATTGGGGACCCGGGAGCATGCCTAGCTCTGGAAATCAGGCCCAAGGGTGACCAAGCAACCAGACACCAAGACCCCACAACTTCCCTGGCTGCGTTGGCAAATGGCAGCACACATGTAGGCAAGGCCCTGCCCTGTGCCCAGCCAGCCCGGCCCAGCTCTCAGGGGGATGATTAGAGCCCTGCGAGGGGTCTCTCCTCAGACCCCAAATCCCAGGCAGGTACCACACAGGCAGCCTGGCTGCGCGTGGGTTCTGGCGGCCCCACAGGAAGGCTGAATTAGCTGGCATGGCGTTGGGATTTTCCAGGAACATTCGGCGGAGCCGGCAGCCAGCCTGTCTGAGCCCCTGGGTCACCTTTGCTGGGTGAGCGCATGCCGGGGAAGGGGGCCAGGAAGAGTGAGCCAGAGCTGGGCTGGCCCTTCACTTCCCCCAGGGCAGCGCGTGGGGGGTCAGTGGAGGGGCTGCTGGCAGGAGTGGTGCCATGGTCGAGCTGATAGCTCTTTGCACCCTGCCCCTAGCTCCGCCATTGTCAGCACGGGTTATTATTAGACACAAATAGGAAGGAGGTGTAGTTTGCTAACAAAGCTCCCAGCCCCGGCCAAGCTCCCTGGAGCCAAATCCCATCCCTGACCTTCCTCCAAACAGGCAGAGGAAACGGGAGCTTTTTCAAGTTCTGTGCGTCACTCGCTGCTCAGACTGGTCCTCCGCTCAGATCCAGGGCCAGAGGGGAAAGCCAGCAGGGCCAAGTACAGTGCCTGAGCCGTGGGGAGGGGACCGCTACAGGAGGCAGCGGGAATTGGGCAGAGGGTGCGGGGCCTGAGCCAGAGGGAGAGGGCGCGCTGCGGGAGGCAGGGGGATACAGGCCAGCTAGGGGGGCAGTCTGGGGGAGGGGCACGCTGCGGGAGGCGGGGGGATACAGGCCGTCTAGGGGGGTAGTCTAGGGGAGGGGCGTGCTGCGGGAGGCGGGGGGCTACAGGCCCGGATTGGGGGGGGGCAGTCTGGGGGAGGGGCGCACTGCGGGAGGATACAAGCCGGCTAGGGGGGCAGTCTGGGGGAGGGGCGCGCTGCGGGAGGCAGGGGGATACAGGCCGGATGCGGGGGCAGTCTGGGAGTGGCCCAGACTGCCCCAGGTGTCTGGAGTTTTGAAACTATTTGCAGCTAGAAGATCTCCCCGGCTCCCTGTCAGATTCTCTCTGGCACCCAGAGGCTGAGCACAGCGCTGGATCCTCCATGCAAAAGCACACTACAGACGGGATGGCGAGCTCCTCCCATCCCATCCTTGTCCTCTCCGCTGCACACAGACCCCTCACAAGGGGGGCTCTTCGCAGGCTTTGCTAACCTGTTGACAGCGCATCTCCTGACTCAGACACAGGGAGACAGAGAGACGTGGTATAGAGCCCGGGACGTGCCTATGGGGTGGGGGGGGACCCAGGAGGAGAGAGGGCCGGGGGCCTCCCAAGCAGCAGGCCAAGTTCTGGTTTAGGCTGGCGGGAGGATGAACCCAGCTGTTCCCTTCATCCTCAGCAATTCCTCACGCAGCCCTTTGAAGTTCCACACACCCCACGGCTTCTGTGCAGCTGTGTCGCCCTGTGGCGGTGCTGGCCTGGCTCCCAGTAGGAGGCAGGGGCCCAAAGGCCCCGCAGAGGGCAATGCTAACAGGAAGGCAGCCGCAGAAAGGGTATGAACGCAGCTGGATGGGAGGCCCTGGCAGCCAGGGAGGCATGGGCCGCATTGACCTGGAGGTCGGGCCCACTAACCACAAACCAGGAGCTGATTGGAGCCTTAGCAAAGCCCTCTGCAGCGAGCATCAGGCCAGGGCTGTTGCTACAAGCTCCCACGAGCGCCCTCCTGGCCTGTGAGCCAATGCTGCGTTGCCAGCGTTTCCACAAGGGGTCCCCATGGCTGTGCAGACGCCTGTGTCCCGCCGGGGAGGCATGTGCTGCACCGGGGAGCACTGCGGGCTGGGGAAGCTAGGCATGTCTCTTCACATTAAACCACCTATTGAAGAGGGATGTAACCCGGCTTGGCAAACCAGCGTCTAGTAAGCGGTGCTGGGCATATGGAGTTGAGCCCTAGAGGAAGGGGGCCCAGGGCCTGCTACTGGCTGCACAGGGCTCAGGAGCCGGCTGTATGGGGCTCAGGGCCCCCTTCCCACTTGCTGGGTGCATGAGGTGTTGGTCTCCCTCTCACTGGGAATATGGAGGTCAGTGGCCCGTCTTTCCCTCCCCTATGGGGTGTATTGGGCTCAGATCCTCTCCTCTGCAGGACAGGAGGGAAAATCGGGCCTTTATTAACCATAAAATCCTCCCTGAATTGTGAAGCCACCCAGGAGCAACGCCAGCTTTTCTGCCGCCCTAGGCGGCGGAAGGTCCCGCCCCGAAATGCCGCCCCGCACAGAGGCAGCGGAAGGTCCCGCCGCCGAAATACCGCCGCGGTCGCCAGCCCCCAAATTGTAGCGCCCTAGGCGACCGCCTAGGTCGCCTAATGGGTTGCGCTGGCCCTGAAGCCACCTCTGGTGCCCAGTACAAACCAGGCCATGACTGCTGGTAAACAGCCTGGACATACCCCTCCCTGCCCATGGCACCCACCCCCCCCCCCACCTGCCTAACTGCCAGCACTGACCTTCAAGAGTCCTTTCTTCACCTCCTGGCCTAGCTCTGCATTCCTTCCAGTCCCCGGCCCCAGCCCCATGCCCACCCCCACCGGTTCCCCCACGAGGGGTGCAGGACTTGGCTTGTCAGCTGGGGATGTTCCCTCAGTCACTTGGAGGCAGTGCACATGTTTCCGATCGGGGGATCACACGCCATCTCCAGCCCCTGCTGTTTGTTATCAATACTAATGGGTCCTGGGGGGCTTGGTTTGGAATTTGGAGGATTTCTTCCAGCTGGGGCAGTGGCCAGCAGCTAACTGGCCAAGAACTCCCCCTTCCATGGGGCCCACTGCTGAACCCAGCCAGAGGAGCTCTCTCCAGATGCTGCCAGCTGTTTGCTTCCTATTCTCACAAGAAAAAACAGACAGACAAAGGCAAACAACCAGGACACAGGAGCCAGAAAGACTGAACGAGAGACCGAGAGAGAGACATTTCCTTCTCCCCTTCTTTCACACTCTCCTCCCCGCCCTCCTATCCAGGGCACACTTCCATGTTGTTTTAATAACGTCCCTTCCTATAAGGGACTTACTGACTTCAGCTGTCATCTCTCCCTGGGCAAGGGGAGTTGATGTGGAGTTAGTCAGGGACCGGCACAGCCTGCCAAATTCCCAAGGGAAGCAAAGCCAAATATTGGGGGGCTAGGGAGTCAAGGCACCAGCACGTGTTAGTGACAATAACATTCATGCTATTGACTGTTACCATGGAGTGCGGTAGTATTGTCTAGTGAGTAGATCCAGAACTCCTGGGTTCTATTCAGAGCTGGCTCTTCAGATTGTCCAATCAGCAGCGCTGTCTAGCTATGGTGCTTATATGTCCCTCATCACCATTTTACCCGAGTGCCTCACAATCTCTAATTTAGCCTCACAACACCCCTAGGAAGCAGGCCAGGGCTGCTCTCCCCAGTTTACACATGGGGAACTGAGGCATTGAGAAACTAAGTGACTTGCCCAAGGTCACACGGGAAATCGGTGGCAGAGCTGAGACCTGACGTCCGGTCTGCTGAGTCCCAGGCTACCCCCTAACCACTGGGCCACCCTTCCAAATGTCTGTCCCTACCAAGCCACAGTCATGCAAACAAACAGATTCTGAGGATTTTGCTGTCTTGGCCAGCTGGCAGAACCAACCCCACTTCTGCTCCTGCCTCTGCCATGGACATGCCCAAGGAACACGGAACAGCTCTGTGCCACAGTTTCCCTACATGTAAAATGGGGGACTGCTAATCTTGCCCTGCCTCACAGTGGCCATGTGCCCCTTTATTCATGCATGTTCGTAAAGCATGTTAATGCCACCAGGTGCCCGAGAAGGCAGAGTGTCATTAGAAGAGAGGCAAGCAGGTGGCAGGGCAGAGGATGTGCCAGCGCCAAAACCCCAGATACACAATTCCCCAGATCTCACATGGGGTGGAGGAAATCAGCACCGTACCTAATGCTTCCCCTCCAACCTGCCTCTAGTCAGAACAGGAAGGAGAAGAAGGTTGGATCTTGCTCGCTTTGAATGCACTGTCCTTCACCTGGCTCGCTGAATAGGTGACAGTCCAGGCTGCTTCTCTTCTTGAGTGGGGCAACCTTCTCACCCCCGTAGGGAGCCCAAGGGGTCCCCATGTTTCATAGATTTACATCCCTGTCCCTGGAGGCCCTGTATTGTGGCCGCCATCCTTTCAGCCAAGGAGGATTGGCGAGGCAGCATATTCTAGGGCGTAGGATACTGGACTGGGAATAAGGAGACCTGAGTCTTATTCCCAGCTCTGACACTGAGCTGCTGGGTAACCTTGGGCAAGTCACTTCCCCTCTCACCCTCTATATTCAGACTGCCAGCTCTTCAGGGCAAGGAGTGTCTCTCGCTCAGCGTATGTACAGTGCCTAGCACAATGGGGCCCTGAGCTCAGCTGGGGCCTTGAGGCGCTGCAGTGATAACTGAAAACGATGAAGGTGGACAATGCTACTTTATAATCACGGAGGGCCAGACCTTAGAGATGTGAGGGGCTCCGCCTCCCCCACCACAGTCTGCGCTTCCTCCGACTCCCTTCTGACTGGGGACAAGACCTAAGAAGGAGGCTCCCACCCAGCAGTACACAGTGCTACACCAAGGCTGTCCCATTTGCTAGTATGAGGTGGAGTTCCAGCTGCTCAGACCCTTCTCAAGCAAATTCCTGGTGAGTGAAATTCTCCAGGTGCGCGCGGAACCCAGAGCCTGATGTGTTTTTGTGGGGAAAGTCAGAACGCAATCTGACTGGCCGTCGTGAGCTGAGTGCGGAAGCCGTGATGTCTCCATCCTCTGATGTTCTGCTCAGACGTTCCATGTGCGGCTCAGCCAGCAATGGCTGGATCCAATTTTACTCAGATGGTCTCAAAAAACTCACCGTGCGGCAAGACTGAGCTGGAGAACATTCGCCCCAAAGGAACTGGTTTGAGAAAGTGCTGAACAAGTCAATGGGAGCCGGGACACGGCTGTGTTCCTTGTGACAATCCTTGTGTTTAGGAGTTCTGCTCTTTCCAGGGACAATACTCACCGAGACATAGGTTGGGTGGAGATCCCCCGAATGAACAGTCACAAGACAGTACTTGTCACAGATGATCACAAACAGCACCTTTCGCTCAGGTGGGGTGGTCCTCCCCGCTGAGGACACATTCAACTGGAACTGCCACATCTGCAGGAGAGAATGGGGATAATGTCACTCGTGCTTACCGTAGATAGGTGCTCTCGGGACAGTGCCCCCTCCACAGTGAGGTGCAGAGACGGCAGGCTGAGCCTGACTTGATGGTAGGGGGAGAGGAGGAAACCTCACGTCCACATTACATGGGCCAAGCCGCTGTGAGAACATGGGCCAGCCACACAGGGCAGCCAAGGGCTTTTCAGCCTGGGCTGCTTGTGCTGCAGATTAAACTAAAGCCAAACACAGCAAGAAACAAATCAAAAGTCTCCATGAGAGAGAGCGACTCGCTTGGTACCATTCTGCCTGTGGGTTGGGCACCTCACGCCAACTGCCCCTGGACCCAGGCAGGGAGACACGGGGCCAGCTCCGTCCTCTGGGGTCGATGGGGGAGAGAAGGAGGCCCTGACTATGCTCCACTGATGTGTGTATGACCCCGTCCCTGTGCCTCTATGTTCTATCTTGAACTGGATCCTGGTGAGGACAATTACACCTGGTCTATACCCGCCCCCCTTCCCCCCTCGCCTCCCAGAGCAGACACACTGCTATATGCAATGCCCCCACACTCTCCATTCACCCTGCTGCGCAAAGAGCCCAATCTCCTTCTAGCATTAGTGTCAGGAGAACCCTGTCAGGACTTGGAGCTCCCGTTCATGTCAGAAGCAACTGAGAAGATGACGCAACCCCAGCATGGCTTGTTAAGAACAGGACCAAGGTGGAAAGACCTACACAAACCCCACGACCTCTCTCTTCGGGCCACCACAGCTAGAAGGTAGCTGAGAAGCGGCCAGGGAGTGGAGCAAGGGGGTTGATGTCCTGGGGGAACGAAAGCCTACTTGATTTAGGGTAACCACAGGGAAGCTCAGGACCCAGATTCTCAAGTCTCAAGGGCCAGGAGTCAAGCCCTGGTCCGGCACAGGGGGGGAAAGCGTGAGTTTGACTGGCGAGCCACGAGAGCAAAGTTAACCTCCGGGAGGCGGGGGCTGGAATGTGCCTCCCCGATGGTTTGGGTTAGTTTCAGCAGAGGCGCTGGTTGTTGTCACCAGCACACAGACACGCGCAGCGGCCCGGGGAAACTACTGCCCCACCCTGGCTGGTGCATCCTGTGTGAGCTCAGACAATGCGGCTGCACCTGCAGCCACCGGGGGGTCCCCTGTCCCAGGCCCTGCCCAGGCTGGCGTGGTGTTTACAGCCATGCAGTGTGGCACAAAAGCTGCTCCATGCCGGCTGAAAACAGGAGCCTGCCGGGGAGTCTCATGGGCTCCTGCAGCTGGTTCAGGTTCTGTGCAGCCCCTCCCTGCAATTTAACTGGAAACCTCCCTCCATCACCCCCTAACTCTCTCCACGAACGCCCTCCCACTGCCGGGCCATTGCCTCAGCTCCCCCTACAGCCAGCCTGGCGCACTGCAGCCAGGAGAGCCCTTCCACCGGCTTGGCTGGGGGAGTCCCAAGTTTGTCTCAACCAGTCCCATTGCCCAGGGAGGTCCAAACTTTGCCCAACCAAGAGCCACCACAGCAGCTTGCCATGAGCCCAAGAGTCACAGCCAGTAGGAATGGAGCAGAGCAGACTGCAGTCCTTCCCCCCCCCCCCCCGCCCGCTGCAATCGGGCCTGGTGGCCCACAGAGAACCCAACTCTCCTCTGCTCAGATTCAGGGGAAGCCGAATGAACACTTCAGGCAATGGCAAGCCGCGCTGCCGCCTACTAGCCACGCTTTGGCCACTCTTGAAGTACACAGAGCACCTGTATGTACAGAGCTCAGGGGCCAGTTCCGCCTGTTTTGTTTCAAGACAGTCCAGGGGGCCCTCAGACACTAAAACTTGGGGCATTAATCTGTACCAAGCTGGGGTGCCTAGAGTTAGTCTCCTAAATCTGGCTTCAGGTTCCAAACTGCAGGGACCAAATTTGAACACTGCCCCCTAAACTGTTACCCCACGCTACCAAGTACAGGATGGAAAACTCCCAGGCGTTAACCCCAGTAATGGACGGACAAATTAACAGAGACACCCTCCAGCAGCACCTAACTCTTCTCCCAGCACCGTCCGAGGGGCATCTGCATGGTACTGCACCCACTCCTGAATCCTGCTTCCTGCCAGAGCCTGGCTCTTCCCTAGAGGCCACCCCGGCCGACCCTGCTCTGAGGAGCTGGTGACGGTTGGACTGTGGGCTCTGTGATATAGGGCCGAGCTTCCCACGTAGGGTGGCCAACATTGTATTTCAAAAGTACGGGACTGTTTTCTTAGCACCCCTAGGGGGGAGGAGTGCCCTGGGCCAACGGGGCCGGGGTGGGGTGCCCACCACCACAGGGGTGGGGGTACTAATCACATGGCCGTGGAGGAAACCTTCCACTCCCTGCAGCAGTCAGGCAGTCTGGCTGCCAGGACCCAGCTCTGGAAGCAAACAGGGCAGCACAGGAGGGGAGAGGAGAGATGCACCCGTGAGTACTGGCCCCCGCTGGACAGGGCCCCCTGCTGACCCCAGCTTTCCCTGTTCAGGCTCTGTCTGGCAGGGCAAGTGGACTGGATGGGGCTGCATGCCCTGGAGAGGCGCTGAAGGGCCAGGGTGAGGAAGGGGCTCTGCCTGGCAGGGGGTTAGTACTCCCGGGGTGTAGCCTCCCCGCTCGCAGAGTCTCTGCCAATGTCCCCAGTAGAGGAGCGTAACTGCTGGTTGGTGGCTGCTGCAGCAGTGGGGGAGCGAGGCAGGCAGGGAGCCCGGGTCTGGCAGCCAAGCCCCCGCACAGAGCCCTGTCCACTTCCCCTGCCAGACAGAGCCCCTACTAATTCCAGCCTTTCAGTGTGGCCCCATCAGGTCTTCTTGCCCCCCCCGATGACCTTATTGTGCCCCCCTCAGGGGACCATGCCCCAGAGTTTGGGAACCTCTGCACTCCAGGTACATTGGTTCAGTAAATCATGGGACTGGTTCTGCATTACTACATTGGCTCATGTTACAAACTGTATCATTGGACAGTAAGGGAATAATCAAACTGGCTTTGCATAATGAGACTATTTGTAATATGTTGAAAGACGGGATACAAGGCGCCCTGCACTGATTTAGTACGGGACAGACCATTTTCTATTTCAATACGGGACGTCCCTTGTAATATGGGACTGTTGGCAACTCTATTCCCACACACACACGCACGCCCAGATGATCTTATCAGGAGCTACTGGAAATGAACTGCCAAAAAGTCTACCACCAGCCTCGTAAGAATAACTCACTCCTATTACAAGCCCAGTCCCGATGCGACGGCACGAGGCGTCCTGTAAATATGACTGTGTGGGTGGCCACGGGACCCCAGCCGATCGGTCCCCTTGGCCCTGTGACGGGGAGGGCCTTGGTTCTATTTTTACCACCTGTTTTTTCCAGGGGCCATTGTTTCTCTCCTCCAGAGTGGCGGGAGGTTTTATTTTACCCCAGTGCTGCCTTTTTCATGGGGATCTGCTTATAGAAACCGGCTTCCAGTAATTCTTCTATACGTGGAGCCTAGTCTCTCTCCCTCGGCCCCCTCCTCTCAGTCGGGGCTTGGTGCCAGCTACCTTGAATGCCACGGTTGTGATATCAATGGCTGGCTCCCCCCATCTCCTCTTTACATAAACAGTGTGTGGGGGGGAGGGGGCAAGTCCATGCTATTTAGTTACATGATACAACACACTGCCCCACAACCAGGTCTCCCGCCGTCTCCTCCCCCCCTCGTCCCTGCCTTCGCAGCCAGGCGATGGAAGCTGGTCTGGATCCTCCAAGCAGAGAGAGCAGACCACTGGCTGCGTCCACCCAAACACTGGGTTTGCGGCCCGGCTGTCGCTGTCCCTGATTCAGGGCATCTCCTGTGGGGAGGAGCCCAGTGTGGCTCCAGAGTCAAACTACTTCACTTGGGGCAGCACAGGGGCCAACTGTTGGTTCAGGCTCCTCTCCTGGAGTAGGAGGAGGGTCCAGTGGTTACGTGCTAGCTGAGACTTGGGAGAAGGGCTTCAAATCCGTGCTTGGCAAGTCACTTAGCCTGTGCCTCTGTTCCCCGACTGCAAACCAGGGATGACAACCCAGCCCTGCCTCCCGCAGGGTTGGGAGGATAAATACATCAAAGATGGCGAGATGCTCAGAAAGTGCAGTGATGGGGACAGATGAATCCCTGAGACAGATCCTTAGATAGCCTAGAAGTCAGCTTAGCGGAATGGCATGAAAGGAAATATTTCATGGGTGGGTGAAGTTCTGTGGCCTGCAACGTGCAGGAGCTCTGCCTAGATTATCACAATGGTCCCTTCTGGCCTTAAAGTCAATGCGTCTATCAGACTTGAATCCCTGTGGCCCAAAGCACCATCCCAATGATCAATGCAGCTGCTGAAACAGATACTACATAACACTGCTGTACTGCCTGGCCCCCTGAAGATCCCCCTTCAATGCATCACCCACACAGGCCAGTAAGAGTTGTGTTACACACAGGCTAAGAGGGTCAGCACCTCAGCTAGTATAAATCAGCATCACTCTATTGCAAACTAAGCTACCCTGGTTTAAACCATCTGAGGACCTAATCTGGAGTCTGAAGTGCAGTCAGTGATCGCTTTCATGACGGCACTGTTGAAGCCAGGTAGGGTGACCAGATATCCCGATTTTATAGGGACAGTCCCGATATTTGAGACTTTTTCTTATATAGGCTCCTATTCCCCCACCCCCCAGTCCTGATTTTTCACACTTGCTGTCTGGTCACCCTAAAGCCAGGGCTTAAAGACCCCCCTGGGTGGTGACATTAGTCAGCCCAGGCTGGGTGTGTTAGTTTGGGATCCTAGCCTGTAGAGCTGACGTTTGCTTACGTGTATATAAAAATGTGTTGAAAATGTAAGTAGGCCCAAAAATCTGTTTCCTAAGAATAGACATGACAATAGCCAAGCAAGGCCTGATAAACGTGAACAGTCAAGTGAGACAATTCTGAGGCAAGTCACAGATAAATTCGGGCATAACCCAGGTCGTGTTGTTTTGGTCCTCACTGGTTTTTACAAGTGTTTT